CTCTCACCTACCATCGCTTCTGTGACCAAGCGAACCCATCTCGTCCGCTCTGGGGCTACGACTGATCAGCTTGCACTATCGTAGGACCAGCGATACGCCACTCCTCAGTGCCGAGAGAAAATACTGTAGATAAGCCATTTCCAACTACCTCAAATATGTAAGCATCTTCCCGTTCTAATAAACGATTTTCACTATAAAATACTTGTCATCTTTGTCTCCTCCGCCATCACCAACGTACGAATGGACCCTAGACCATCACCGACACACGATTAACTGATTTCCCCTAAAAGTCGGCAAGCTTACAAATTTGACACAAAAAGCCGTTAAGTTCGTTATCCGAATTTTGTTCGTTATCTGACACAAAATTTTTGCAAAATAATAGTTCGTTAACCGATTTGGTCGTTAACCAGGACGTTCGTTAACCGGGGTTCCACTGTAGTTTGGCCGACAATTTTAAATTGAGGCTGGCTGTCAGCAAAAATATTTAAGTTTCAGCAAAACAGTTTAAAATATGAACAAAATTACATTTTAATTGATAAAATTATTTTTAATATTTATTATGTATACTTATAATGATAAAATGCTTTAACATCATCTTAAATACTTTTTCAGCAACACTTCAATTTGTTTAAATGAACATTTTCGACTCTTTTTACAGGTCTGCATCAGGTTTAATGGGAAGATGTGTGAATCTTCCTGTTTAAGAACTACTATTTAAGAAGATGGTTCAAATCTTTTTGTTAAACTTGACGCAGACCTGTGAAAAAGGTCGAAAATGTTCTTTTATAAAATTAAAGTGTTACTGATAAAGTATTTAAGGTGTTGTTTAAGCTAAATTAGTTTCAGCCCATATAGAAGTGTTTTTTAATGATAAAATGACTTTTCCATTATAACTAACTGTTAAAGTTTTTGTTGTGATTCACAAATGATGCTGAAATATGTTAAATTTTTGAATGCATTTCAAGCCATTCTAGGTAAAAATAATTGTTTGCACTAAATTTACTGTCATTTTGAGTTTTAAAAATTGATTTTTTTAAGATGAATCAGTCTAAGCATTTGTTGATTCTTTATTTTCTTGAATAAGTATATGCAATTGTGCAGTTAAGAAAACCTGGCTTGAGTGAATGAATTCAAAACTTGGTTAACTATGTGTTAAATACCATGATGTTCAGGGGAAATTAAAGCCAACATGGGAAAATTTTTGGTACTAGAAATAATATGGCAATAGCAGCAAAACATCATAGTAAAATGGAATTGTGTCTCAGCAAAGCATGTAGACCTTAATTGGAAAAATTCACCAAAACAAAGGGAAACTGTGTTTTAAATGTGAAATTGAAATGCTTACTTTGTTTCCAATCAACTCAGTCACTTATTACATTGTTGCCTATTTACACAGTTATGCACTTTCAGTAGAGATGAATTGGTCTGGCTTACTGAACCATGCTTTTAATTGTTATGAAAAACTGGAATAAAAACAGTTTTAAAAAGAACCAAAAAAGGAGATATATTTAAATATTAATAATTTTTAATCTATACTAATATTATANAACTACAGTTTTTTAGGCTCAATATTCATATACTTGCAAAGTATCAATACACATTAGAAACATTACTAACCCTTCCTATATACATTGGAAATTGAAGAAATTAACTGAAGTACAAATTAACAGCATTCAGGAGCTTGATAAGAAGATAAGAAGCATCTTTATGAATTTCACCTTTCCAACAGATAGAAGAATAGAGTTCAATAGAATTGATGACCTTGCAAAAGCATATTGTATTCTGAAAAAGATAATGGAAGTCATTATATGACACAAATGTTAATGAAAAGGTCAGTAACAACAGTGACCCTGTGAAAAGCATTATCAGAGAGGCAAAGCATTATCTAATGTAAAGTACTTAAACCTGTTGTTAAAGGCATACAATACCAAATACTCACTATAAGAGACCCTACAATCATGAATATCATTAGAGGTGATATGGATTCTGTAGAAGATAAATCCAAAGACAAAGCAAACTGGGAGTGTATGCAGTGAGTCTTATGGTATCTACAAGGGGAGAATTACATAGGCTTCATGTTTAGTTCTGTTAATATAAGAATTAGAGAACATCTTAGATCACTTATAAATCCTTGATTACAAGTATTCTCCATTACATTTATATACTAGACAAGTAGAGCCCTCTTTGGCTTATAATACATTGGAATAAAGCCATACTCTTAAGACAAGAAAGAAGTGAAGTATCATTTAGGTTCTTAGAACAAGTGTATATACATGTATAAATTTTTGGTAAATACAGACAGATCATAAATATGATTGATGCATGCACTATGTCACAACCATGGAAAGTGTTAATTAACAGTATAGATTTCCTTCAATATGTGAAGAAAGCTGTTAGGCAAATTGAATTGTAAAAAATGTACTTAAGCTTTTGAATTATGTTTGAATATTAATAGTTGTTTGAGTAATTTGGCATTTTAAGAATATTGATTATTCGAAAAAAAGTTGTTCCACAGCAGATACTGATGATAGCCAAATGTAAGGTTGGAAATGTATTATTAATAAAAAATAAGCAGTTCTTGAATTAAGAGTAATTACTTGTTATAATTTTATGATATGATGCTGATTTACAGATTTTGAAGATACAAAGAATTCTTTATTGAATATAGAACAAAATGGAACATATTCCATAAATCTTAAAATTAGAAAGAACATGGTTAAGTTTTAATGTCCTCTACATGTTTTAAATTTATATAAAAAGCACATTAACAATAGAATATAGTTACAATGAATCAACCATTATATTTTTATCCTATACTTATTTTTTTTTCAAAAGTCAAGAATGCAGAAAATGTTGAAAGTTCTTGTCCACCTTACCAAATGGAAGAAAACAAATCTCTGGAGAAAATTTGAGACAACTAGGAAAATCATTAGTTTTTAAGAGGGTGTGATAGAAAATGCTGAGTTATATTGCTGAAGAGAATCAGTGATGCCTTTAATATTTTTGATAGGTATCAAGCAAAGGGTACAGGGATATTTTTATGTAACAGTATGTATCAGACTTATCTTAAGAACATTTGCAATAGATACAAAGTAGAATATTTTAAACACTTAATACAATAAAAAAAAGTCTTATAAATTCAAATATTTACATAATTAACAATGCAGACTAACTTGTAAAATAATTTTTATTTCTGCATCTACTGATGTTTATTTGATTTTTATACAGGGGCTGATTTCAAGATTAACTTGTGATTATATAATAAATTTCTGAAATTTCTTATAGTGGTAATAAAGAGAAAATGTTTTTTTGTGTATTACTATTACATTCTATTTCTTGTATTAGATTTGAATAATTTAATTTTAAATTATATGACATTGTTGTTTTAAAATATTCTATAATTTATAGATCTCTTGTAATTTGTTTCGTACTCTGCCTCCAAGTGAAAATCCAGATTTTGATCCTGAGGAAGATGATCCTACTTTAGAAGCTTCTTGGCCACATTTGCAGGTATGTTCAAATTTTAGAATGTTTTTAATTGCAGAGTTAAAAAATTTAATTTAATTAAAATTTTTATTAATTATATTCACAATGAAAATATATAAAGAACAATAGAGTAATCCTTTTTAAGAATTGTGATCATGATTGTTATATAAAATTTATAGAAATTATTGTTTTCATTATTAAGCCAGAATATTGATTTCATTATTATGAGTTAGAGACTTGATTTCATATAAAGATTGCAGATTAGTTGTTTCCAGTTGATTATTATTCAGGGTTTATGCTGAAAAAAATTTTTCTGTAGTATTTTAGCTAATTTTACTTAAAAAGTTGTAGCAAAATTTTAGAAACTAGCTAATATTTCTTATCTGTGTGAGGCTGCCCAGAACAATACACAATACATTATTGTTTAAACATTTATTTATTTTCATAGATTTTTATATTATTACAGCATACTGCACTACCAAAATAACCATAAATCTATTGTTACAACCCACAAATATCATACATTATTGAACAGTCTTTCTTGTTTTTGATTCACACCAGGAAACAAATGCTGAATGAAAATCAAATTCCCATCTTGGGGCCATTTATGGAGATGTTTAACAAATTGTTGACTTTTTTTTATACTAAGACAGTTTCCAATTGGAGTTTTTGTTAATGTCATCTCACTGAAACCTTTCACACTCAACAGTGTGCAAGGAGCAAATTCAATAACTGTTGATATATGAGAGTAATCTGAGAGAAGGTCATTTACAACTATCATTTTATAAACTTTAGCCAATGATATATCCTTATGTCTTACATCAACAAATCTTTTAAACAAATCCCACGCCTTCAGAAATTGTTTTTTAAAATTACAATATTAACAATTAAGTATTCATTTATTGGAAACATTCATATCTATAAAGCAGAGAATACATGATGCTCCATACAGGAGGTGTCGTCTGTCAAGGTGGACTTTTCTTTTGCATACTTGGAGCAATGAGAGATTGCACTAGGGTTTCGCGTTTCCCTGTCTTTTGCTTGTCCCGGGATAAAAGTGAACTGTTTCCCGGGATCCCGGGATAGAATTAATTATTTTTAAGGTATACAAAAGATCTTGAAATCAAAGGATATAATTATTTTCCATTTTTTTAAAGTAATTTTAAAGTTCTGTAACCTCCAAAATCATATTAATAATGCTGTGTAAGGTCTATAGGCCTATAATAAAAATTACCTTTAAATAACATAGAGATTTTCACAAATAGAAAAAAAATTAATTAAAGTTTGCTGGAAACTGCATACAACAACAACAAAAAAAA